TCAGTATAAAAATACTATAATTTATGTGGTAAAATACAATATTTATTTATTGCGCTATCGTACACAATCATGACGTTTCATATTTCATTAAAAAGTTTATCTCTCAGAAAAATCAACTTCCATTCATTATTTTGACGTCACGAATTTTCGATCAGGTCACGTGTCCTGACGCGAGTTGAACATTTTTACCAATTACAAAAAAGTGTACAACGCCGCTAAAGAAGTTTTCACTTCAAAAAAAATGGTTGGCATTAATTGGGCGGGTTAATTGGAATCCAAAGAAGAACTCCACAATTTGCAGCAAACATTTTCTTGAAAAATATAAAGGAAAGAGCAGAATAAAAACAATTTCATTAAAAGGAGCCATTCCTACATTATTTGTACTATCCATACTAATATTATAAATATGAAAGTGTGTTTGTTTGTTTGTCCTTCTTTCACGTCGCAACAGAGCATCGGCATTGCATGATTTTTTGTATGGGGATAGTTCGGTGGCTGTATAGTGACATAGGCTACTTTTTTCCGCGAAAAAACATCTCATTCCCGTGGAAAAATAGAATATGTTGCAAAAGTTTGTCCTTCTTTCACGTCGCAACAGAGCGTCGGCATGGCATGAATTTTGGTATGGGGATAGTTCGGTGGCTGTAGAGTGACATAGGCGGAAAAAGATATCATTCCAGTGGGAAAATCGAATATGTTGCAAAATTAAATTCAGCTACGTGGCACCACCGTGATTCTACAAGACGGACGACGGTACGATGGACGAACACACAAGGTCAGAATATCTGAATTATTATTTTGTCATAAGAACTTTTTGTTTTATTTGTTATAAGTTTGTAAAAAGACGTAATCTATAAAGATTATATCTTTTTACCAAAATTAAGATAAAAAATGTATGGATCTGTATTTTTCCACGCACGACCGGGAAGAGAGCGATAAAAAACATAAAATTCACCAGCTGATTTTCTTCAAACGTTTTGGTGCATTGTAATTCACAGAATAGGCGATAACCTCGCAGACGATATTAAGTAATCCGTTGATGCTCTGCCTACCCCGCAAGGGTTACAGGCGTGATTTATAAGTATGGATCAGAAATTCTATCACCACCTGTCACGCTTTCACCCTTAACTATTACTTAACTGTGGTAGAAACAGTTCTTAGTAAGTCTTATTAATAAGCCTTAGTAATATTTATTGAACGGAAATGAATACAGTTCTTATATGTGGTTATGAATGAAACACTACAATAACAAAAATTGTGCAAAATTATAAGAAAAATATTTTTTGAGAGTTCTTATTAACTAAAGTATATATAGTTAAATTGATTCCGCTAGATGTCGTTACTAGGTTTTTAAAACGCGGTAACGAAATGTTTCCTGACATGTACTTAACTCCCGCCGTTGAGCCGCGCGTCAACTTATAGTGCGTACGGTACCTATACGCTTAAATTATTTCTATTTCGTAGCTTATTCGACTACCTGCTTTCGATTGCGGTTGTTTGTTATTTGCTTTGTGATTTGGTTAAGGTTGGATGGATTTATATTGGCTTTCATTTTCGGATTTGTGTATTTTCTTGGATCGGTTTTGTTGATTTGGTTGGTATTCCTTTATACTTATTTAGACTCTGGCGTGGCGAAAGTTACAATCAAATCTCGTTCTGGAGCGTTCGAAACCTTAGATAACAGCTGGATTGTCCCGTATTCGCCCATTCTATGTAAAATGTTTAATGCCCACATTAATGTTGAAGCATGTAGCTCGGTTCGCGCAATCAAGTATATCTGTAAGTACATAAATAAAGGAAGCGACCAAGCAATATTTAATCTCAGGAGTAAAGGTGAGGCAAATCCCGTTAACGTACAGACCTTTCAAGCAGGGCGTTATGTCAGCAGTAACGAGGCAGCGTGGCGTCTACTTGGCTTCCCTTTACACGAAAGGCACCCAACAGTTACTCACCATGCTGTGCACTTAGAAAATGGAGAGCATGTATATTTCACCGAAAGAAATTTCCAATAAAGAATTGCATCACCGCCAAAAACTACACTAACAGCCTTCTTTCAACTTTGTCAAACCGACCCCTTTGCAAAAACGTTGTTATATTCTGAAGTCCCCCGCTATTATACTTGGAACACATCTAGGAAGGAGTGGAAACGCCGTATTTTAGGCGCGACTGTTGCAAATTAGCCCGGTGTAAAGTCATCAGATGCCCTTGGTCGTGTCTATACCGTCCATGTAACTAATTTTGAATGTTTCTGTTTACAATTGCTGCTGCACCATGTTCGGGGTCCTACAGGATATAAAGACCTTAAAACTGTCAACGGTCAGGAATGCGCAACTTATAGAGAAGCATGTGAAGCTCTGCATCTTTTAGAAAACGATAATCACTGGGATGAAACCATGGAGGAAGCAGTACAGTGCCAGTCACCAGCCCAAATTAGGGATCTTTATGCAACTATCATATCATCTTGCGGGCTATCTAATGCACATGAATTGTGGGATTTATTTGGGTACCTATTTGCGGGTGAAGGCCTCCTCCATCTTTTGCCATTTTAGTTTATCTTGTGTAAGTCTCATCCAGGTGTGTCCAGCTGTGGCCACAATGTCATCACACCACCTGCGCCTGGGTCTACCGCGTGTCCGTGGCACTTCGCGAGGGTACCATTGGAGAACTCTCTCACTCCAACGTCCATCTGTAGCTCTTACAACGTGGCCTGCCCATCTCTATTTTAATTTACATGCTAACTCTGCAGCATCTATAACTTTTGTGGTGTTGTGGTTGTGGTTTTTCTTATTTCTTTATTTTTTTGTCTATCTCGTAATTTAAGTTCTCTCTGTTGTACGCTGAAAGACCTGAAGTTTGTTTATTATTGGTTTTGTTAGTGCCCAGATTTGACAGCCATAGAGTAGTGTTGGTAGAACAATAGTATCTATTGCTTTCTTTTTTGTCGCGTCGGTACATATATAGGAGACTTAAATTATTTTACTTTTAGTGACCAGTATTTTCTCCAAGCACTTTTTATTCTGCGGTCGACTTCATTCTCTGTTTGGTTTGAAAAACAAATGTTCTGCCCAAAATAGACATAGCTGTCTACATACTCTATCAATATATTTCGCACCCTCGTAGGAACTCTAACGCTGTTAGTTAGGAGTCTCGTTTTTTCAGTATTCATATTGAGTCCGCACTTTCAACTATCTATATCTAGAGATATCAGCATGTGTTCTAGTTCATGATGACTTTCACTGATAAGGATAACGTCATCAGCGAATCGTAAGTGGCTTAATACTCGCCATTTATTTTTATCCCAATATTATGCCAATTGAGTTGTCGAAATACATGTTCTAAAATGGCGTTAAATAAATACGGTGAGATAGGATCCCCTTGTTTCACTCCTTTCTGAATATTAAATGGTGTTCCTTTTCTCTTTAATTTAACCACAGTATAGTAACCACTGTCTGTTATTTCTAAGAAACTGGTTTTTAGTTTTGCGGGAATATTATCTGTTTTTCTCTTTGGATTTCAGTAAGCCTCCACATTTTTTAGGATTATTCTAGAAATATTGAATGAATTGAAATGTAGTAGTACTCACTTTTTGTTTCAGATAAGAGTCCTGTTAATTCATTTCTTGGGTTTTGATGTTGATTTATCAGTTTTCGTTTTTTGTGTTTGAGAAAATTTTATGCTTATGCCAAAGTTTAGTAATCATTTTAATATTTATGCAATCATTTTGAGGACATCAAATTCATAGAAATCTGGAACCATCTAGAACCGTTCTTCATACGAGAATCTATCAACTCTATAGTGATTTGCTCCATGGGAATGGCCAGATAGAGTACATGAATTTTATTAGGTTGGGGTATACCATCTTTTGTAAAATATCCAAGAAGAAAAGCAATTGGGACCTCAAGACAGTAGTTATAAGTTTCAACTGTTCAAACTGCCCTAAACTTCGCTTGCAAGTTGAGGCTGTTACGCGAGAACCTATTTTTGCCGTTGGTTATTAGTTCTTCGAACTATATGGCCGACTCATTGCATCACTTCAGCATATTGATCCTTTGGTCTTGTACTACGAATATCAGACATTATTACAAATAATTCCGAGCTCTCCATAGCTAGAACGCGGTATTTAGGTTCCCCATACAGCCTACAGTAAAGGGCCCCGGTCTCACTAGTTGTACAGTCTTGTTCTCAAGCTCTAAGTGAGACATGGACATTACACATTACTTTTGTTTTGTTAATGTTCACTTTAAGACCTCATTCCGATAGGCTTAACTCAATGGCACAGAAAAGAGACGTTGCATCTCTCGGATTTACCAAGGCGAGTGCTCTGAGGAATTGTTCAGACTAATTCCAGCCGCTCAATTTCACCATCGCACATCGCGACAAAACCCGCGATACCATCCATACCATCTGGATGATTATCGGTCCACCAATGTGCGGTTTAGAAGTTTTCCTCCTCTAAGAACTTCTTTGTGGAATCAACTACCACCAAAGATTTTTCTGGACCGATACGGGACCTTCAAGAAAAGAGCCTACTTTTTTTTAAAAGGTCGGCAACGCATCTGCAATTCCCCTGGTGTTACAGTTGTTCATGGTGCGGCGACATGGGCGGTAGTCACTTCCTATCAGGTGAGCGGCATGCTCGTTTGCCCCATCTGAGAGTGTATAGGTCTAAGATGTACTCGATTTTAACGTTGATGCCGTAATGCAATTTTGTTGGAGTAATTATTATAATACCTACTAAAAAGTTCCACTAGGTACTAAAACAAGGTGTGATGAAGCCGCCGAAATGGTATTGATTACGTTCAGTATATAGTTGTTCCTTCGACCGTATCTGCTTACGATTGCATCGACCTATGCCCCTTGCTATTAATATTATCATCGAGTTATATAGACGTCGAAACGAAATATTTATGTCTGCTCCTGCAGTTATAAATGCTCGATTAGGCTTGTAAAATGATAATATAGGCGGTGTAACGTAGCTTTGAATTTAAACTCTATTTTGGATGACATTATTAACAACAAATAATAATATTACCATAGGTAAGTACTTATTTTTTATGATATTATATTCAGTTATTCGTATACTTAAGAATACCTATATCCTAAATATTTTAGAATACATGATTGTTAATAATCTTCTGGGATGAGATGATGGCTACTACCTATGTTGTTTCTAATTGTTTTTTTTTTTATAATGGAGTTTTATTAAAGCTCACACGATTAAGTTTTAAAAAATCATCTTTATTATTCTTTAGACAGAGAATGCCATTAAGCATTAAGTGCACTCATTGTAGACCTTAGTTTTCGTGTGCCAACAATTAACATTAAACAAATAGAAAATTATTTAGAAATTTTCAGAATAATTAAGTACTTATCCTGATATATTTTTATACTAATAGTAAAACTTTCAACCTTTCATCTGTAGACACATAAATTGTGTGAATAAATGATAAACCCATTATTATCAAATCGAGTCATTCATTCGTTAAGTGACCGAGAATACTTGAGCCCTTTTGCATGTCAATTGTGTTCATTGGACCTATTAAAAGCACTGAACACGGTCGTTCCATGTTAAAAAAAGTTCAATGAATGTTTTAATCGTTCGTGTGGTTCCTTGGTCCAGTGAAATATACATACTCCGCGGTGTTTATTTGTGAAAGTGTAAGGATTTAATCATTTTATAGCAAGCGAATCCCTCTTGCGGTAAGTAAATAAAAACGGCTAAATGTTTTATTCGAAAACATTACAAACCTTCTTCTACAATAACTAACTTATTTATCTGTACACAGTTCGCACCTGCACCAGTCCTTTCAAAAGTCGTAGAGATTTTGCGTAAAAGTCACGTACGGCTGGCGAATTCCTGCTCACGGCAAAGATTTATATAGTTAATCTTTGGCTCACGGTATCAAAAGTCTCACACCTTTGACCCCAAATTTTTTACGTAATATTTACTTACTCTATAGTTGTTCTAAAATTGTTTAGTACCGACGGAAGCCAACCGTTTATTCATTATTTTATTATAAGCCAGTGTTTGGCTACTATCCCATCTGATGGTACGTGGTGATGAAGTGAATATGGCAAAGCGTACTGGTTTAGCTCAACAAAAGCCTATTCACTCTTGCCTTGAAGACACCCACATTAAAATCGGATAGTAAGACAGATTCTGGCAAATTATTCCACTCCTTTGACGCATTACGAAATGCGAAGTAAACCGATTGGATCCAATGCGAGGTTTGGCGACAACAAAGGGTTGAAATCCATCCTAGCGTCTAATTGTCCGATGTTGGAAGGGAGGAATGAAGTTATGTAATCCCTGCTCACACTACGAAATGTATACTGTAAAAGTAGTTTTTTTCCCTTTGATCTGGATTTTGCAAGATTGCCTTTGTATTTTATTTTGTAAACTGGTGACACTTTTTTGATGCGAAGTTGTAAATAACATTTCACTCACATTCGTTTTTTTAAGTCGTCAATCACGCACATTAGAATTGTGACTTGAATTTTCTTCAAAAAGTGATCAAATAATAGCATTACGTTGATCTCTACCAGTATAAGTATAACATTCAACTTTTAATGAATGTTTTGTTAGCGGGTAATGTTTATGATTTTTAGAACCTCAATAAACAGTCCAACATGGGCTTTTCTGGTTTTCCAAAACACTTTTGTATCATAGACCACATACATACCTTCGGCAAATTGTACAGAAAACCGAAGAATACAATCTACCACTTTGCATTGTGTATGTGGACTGTGAGAAAACCTTTGATTCCGTAGAAATTTGGGCGGTGCTTCAGTCACTACAGCGGTGCCAAGTTGACTTTCAGTATATCGAAGTTCTGAAATGTTTGTACAGCAGGACTGCGATGGCTATCCAAATACAGAACCAGAGTACGAAACCCATCCAACTGCAGAGAGGTGTAAGACAGGGTTACGTTATGTCCTCGAAACTCTTCACCGCTGCACTGGAAAACCTACCTCAAAACCTGAAAACAAGATTGTACAACTAGTGCGTGTTGCCAGTGATGACTTATGAATTTCAGACGTGTCCTTTAATGCTGGCTATATGAGGAAGCTCAAGGTCGCTCAGCGAGCTATGGAGAGGGTTATGCTCGGGGTTTCTTTGCGTGATAGACTTAAAAATAAGCATATCCACAGTAGATCAGAGTAACTAACATAGCCCAACGGATTAGTAAGCTAAAGTGGCATTGGGCGTGGCGTGGTTCTCGAGTGGCAGCCTCATACCGATAGCCGAAATGTAGGGCGGCCCCCCACTAGATGGAGTGAAGACCTGGTGAGACATGCGAGAAGTCGATGGATGCAGGTGGCTCAGGACCGTGATTTGTGGCATTCCTTGGGGGAGGCCTATGTTCAGCAGTGGACTTGTGAAGGACTGTAATGATGATGACGATGGGTTTTTAAAAGTCGCGGGGACTTGACGAATAATTCTGATGATTCGTATCTAAAAGTGTTTGTTACCACCGGTACCATTCATTTTAGGTTCATCAAATACGATGGCTTAGTTACGATCAGAATAAAACTACATGATTTTGTTAGTCATTTCGCTTTCATCAGTCGAACTTTTTACACCCATGTAATGGAATGGCGGTAGATTACTTTACACAGCATAGTGTCTTGATCGTGATCTCGATTTTTGAAGAATTTTATTCTAAACCTTTAATATATTCTCCTGATACTGATGATTTCTGGTCTCTAATTTCTGGAGTAGGAATCAGTATAATGACATTTGCCTCTTTAACATTCATTCCTTATAGTATATCAAAAGTTCACGGCTGAATATAGGCCTTTCTCTGCCATAAATAAGGGATATTTGTTATAGTTATTTTAAGTCTCCATCAGGAAGATGCTGTTGCCCATATCCTATTTCATGACACTCTGCCGCGTCTTACAACACCTACTAATCAATATAGGTTTTAAAGTCTGTTATACTTTTTATTAACAGTTATTTTTAAAATGTAACTTTTATTTATTATTTAAACGATTTGTGAAATAAGAATAGAAGGGGAGTTGATCGAGCAAGTAGATGAGTTTGTATATTTGGGCTGCGTATTTAGCAGGGATGGGAGATATGATAAGGATATAGAACGACGAGTGAATGCGGGAAATAGAGTAAATGGGGCCTTGCACTCTATTGTGAAGAGTCAAAATGTGCCGAAAAAGGCACGTATGGCAATTCACAATGCTGTGTTTTCACAGCATTGTGAATTGCCATACGTGAATTCACAATGCTAGTTCCTACTTTAACGTATGGTAGTGAAAGTTGGGTGTGGCAGAAGAAGCACGAGAGTAGAATAAACGCAGTAGAAATGCGGTCGCTAAGGAGTATGTTAGGGCTGAATCTGAATGACAGGGTGAGAAATTGTGTAATAAGAGAAGAGTGTGGTTTGCAAGATGATGTTGTGACCAGGATTAAGAAAGGAATGCTTCGGTGGTTTGGTCATGTGGAAAGAATACATGAGGAAAGAGTGACAAAGAAAATTTATGTTGCAGAAGTGAATGGCAGAGTCGGAAAGGGACGTCCTAGGCGAAAATTTATCGACCAAATTGGCGATTTATTGGAAACGGGCCAAATTAGGAGTACCCTTAACCGACGAGCATGTATGCGTAGGTGTATGGATGTGAAGGAGGCGAGAGAGGTGTGTCGGGATCGTGCCAAATGGAAATCTGTAGTCTCTGCCTACCCCTTTGGGTGACAGGCGTGAGTGTTTATGTAATGTAACTTTAATTTACTGAAATGGTTTTTTCTTAAATCCATTTAAAGACATGTTCTCTACGTAAATATTTACTGATACACGCTGTTTACCATTACGATACCTTAATGATTAACCGTTATTTATATGTCTACACTTCTTAATTAAATATTTGTTGCCAATAAATAATTCAAACAAATTATCTGTAATGCGTTATATAAATGATTAAAGTTGAAATGTCACTCCGCTTGTTTAATTTTGTTTCTGTACAAAGCGTATTTATTTTTAGAATTTCGTATTTTATTATTATGAGAGGGAGGACTATGGTATTATTTCAGTATGCTTTCTTAGCAGGCGGTAAAAGAAATCCTTTATAATAATTTGAATATAAGAGAGAGTCAACTACCTATCCTATCATCCCGCAGCACCCGGCACCCGACCCTCACCGCCTCGCCTCGAGCGGTTCGTATGGATTCGTATGAGTCTGCGCTCACTACATCAGCTCCGTACCATCACCGGATCTCCTCGCTCGCGAGGTGTCCACGCGTGGACCGCGAGTGGACCACTCGATGATAGCTCGCTGTTGGCATGCTTGCCTTGCGTGAAGCGCGAGCTGGCAACGCGCGGCATTCTTGCGAATGTGTCGGACGCATTGTTGTTTGTTTTTAAAATGAACAAAGAAAAACTCACAGAAGAAGTTCGGAAGTATAATTTATTGTATGATTTAAGGGTCACTCGTTGATCACGCGAGGTCCACTCGTTGACGACGCGAGGTCCACTCAATGACCACGGGAGGTTCACTGGTGACAAAGCGGTGTGCACCCGTGGTCAACGGAACAAACGGAACAACGGAAACGGGTTTACCACGCTGCACCTATCATGATTGTAGCTCGAATGGACACGAGCTTGACCGGGGAAGGGACAAGCTCTCAGAGAATACCAGCGTAAAATAGCAACTTAATGTTGCCGTATTTCGTACGGTGGGTGTAGAGGACCGGAGACCCGTTTTACTGGAATCGAGGCATTCCATCTTAGTCCTCAAGTGTGACAACGCATCTGTATTATGATTCTTAATCCAGGTTAAATGTAGATTTGTATGGGCCACAGCATCCACTTACCGTCTGGTGGACTGTGTGCTCGTTTGTCACACTTATGCTATAAAATAAAAATAAAGTTTTAAAACAATTGCGGTTTCCAACTTGCCAGCCAAGCGCGGAAAATTTTTCTCCCTTAAGATCATATATCCCATCGAATATCCCATAAGTGACAATTAATAGGGGAGTCCGATATTCAGTCTCTTAGTTAACATAGGACTGACAAGCTGTAGTCAAGCTGTAATGAACGAATAATTTGAATTTAGTGCAAGGATACAGTTGACAGGACAGGATGTCTTTAAATTATTATAGATATAAGGAAAGCAATATAAGCTCCACAAAATTAGACTCTTTTTTGGGTAGATGTATTTAACTTCTCGATAAAACATTTTTGAACGAAAACTTAAGTGTGATGTCCCCACCATTTACAATGGATAAGAAATTGACTTCTAAAATTGTCACCATTGTAATGCGTAATAATAATTTCTGTACTTTCATTTTTCAGTCATGGAAGTGGTGGGGTTTGTACAGGAGATGTTGCAGAACGTCGTTGAACATGCTGCAAGCTACCGTTTAGGGCAGAGTGTATTGCGTCAAATCGATCGAGTGCTGTGGACACTAGAGAAGAGTGCACAATGGGCTGTACCGCCTCCATGTAATTTTGTTTTATATTTATAATAGCAATCCGCCCCGGCTTCTCACGTGTGATTTCTGGATCTCGACAACAGCGCTACCCACCTGGCCCAATTGTGAATCTAAACCTTTCAGGGACTCACTCAATCGCACACAAAAAATTTCATCAAAATCCGTTGCGCAGTATAAAATATCTAAGCGTACAGAGGGCTGGAAGCCGGGAAGCGACTTTGTTTTATACTATCTAAAGATTGATACTTCGTTATTGTTTGTAAAGTTAGGCCGCATAGTAAATTTTTCGTGTATTGTAACACGTCAACCTCAACTGCACGTAATTTGGCAATGAATCTCACAGTTATACTCTTCATAAATCAATGAAAACCTAAAGCTAACAACTTCAGCGCAAACTAATAAACACACATGAAAATATATTTTTTTATACTTAAAAACGTGAATTATCTCCTGTTTAAGTTTTTCCCTGTCTCTTGTTGCGACACCCATGAGACGTTTAGAAGTACTGAATATCTAAGATCGCCATAACAAGGTTAGGCCCGGTTTACATTTTGAGAAGTGACAAGTGCGAGTGGCAAATGCAACTGACAAATGACAAGTGCTCAGTGCGTGTGAACAGGCAATGACAAGTGATAAGTGTGTATAAAATTCGCACTAAGCACTTTTCATTTGTTAGTTGCACTTGCCACTCGCACTTGGGGCACAGTTTACATTTTAAAAAGTGACAATGCCTGTTCACACGCACTAAGGACTTGTCAAACGCCCGTATTCACTTTGATTAGTGATTAATGCAGGTGATTAGTGTAGGTGCTTAGTGATTATGAGTAAACACGTGTGGACAGCGATTGATTAGTGCAAGTGATTAATAATCTGCGTGGCAAAGTGACTAGAAGCGTGTTCTATTTTTTTGCGAGTGGACTGCCAGTATCCACGTCCCGCGCGTCCTTCCTTCCCACTCACTCGCAGTATGTCCTTCACTAAACACGTCTGGACAACAGTGTTTAATGTTTAGCGTTTAGCGTCAGTCGCTCGCTTGTGTTGCAAAAATGCCAAAGTGGACCGAAGACATAACCTATAAAGTCGATTCCGAAATCCCGGGATTTCAAAGTGAAGTGCATTTCATAATAGCTAACACCTACACTTTAGGTAAATAGGCATCCGATTATCCGTTCACTACTTATAATACGAGACACAGAATATAATCCGTGATACGAGACGAGTGATCATCAATCTTCATCATAGATTGAGTCAGGCAGGAGCTGTCACTGTCAGCACAGATTAAAAATACAGTTGGCAAACACAAGTAATAAATAGAACTGTAAACGAGAATCGATTTTAAGATTTATTTTTATTATGTTGATATTTTATTTTTTAAACTGTTGACACTGTCTTAATTGTAATTTATATAATTATTATGACAATCAATTATCTGCTGTGACTTGTTTCATTGTTGAATTGTTAAAACTCATTCACGCTGATCGATTGAAGTAATCGATTTCTTATTTTATTCGTGGCATAAACTTATTTTTTAGATTTTTCATCTTCCCGATTGTGATTTGGGCAAATTTTTTATATTTTCAAATAGAAAAATATAACGCTTTTTTTAAACCATATTTCTAATACTAATTGGGCTCAGAAATCCCCGTCTCCTTTATGTAACATAGTATTATTATTTATTACACAAATTTTGGCATTTTGAAGTAAGTTTGACTCTAGACTCAAATTTCAACATTGTAAAATTGTCGTAATACCGGCCCAAGAGATTAAAAAATATTTCTAGGACAGGAGGATGTAATCTGATAACAAACACCTATTAGGGCGTATTGAGCCGACATTTGCCTACTTTAATTTCTACTTTAATATTTTTTTATTATTATATATTTTTTGTTTTTATGACCATATATGAGAAACCATGTCGTTTCAGTGGATCAGGATGAACACCCACAACCAGAGCTGATTCGTCCATTGCCTTGGGTGGTCTTTCTCGCGTTACTTGTGGTGCTTCGCGTCACCCGGGAGTCTATATCTCTTGGTAACCTTGTTTTGGGTAAACCTCCATTAAGATCGGCAGATGTAGTAAGTAACTTTAAAATTAATATGGTTAGTTTTATCTTTATATATATATATATATATATATATATATATATATATATATATATATATTACGTTTCACGTTGTTTGTACCCGACGGACTCCTAAACTACTTAACCGATTTTAATCTTTGCACACCGTGTGCAGTTTGTCCAACTGAAAAGATAGGATAGCTTACATCTCAATTTATATTCGCAATATTATTTTATTGCAAATTATTTGTCTATTATTTGACAGTCACAATGGAGAAGATAACAAGGTTACAATATTAAACTTTTAAGTACGTAGGTAAAATGTCTAGACCAAACACATAATTCTAGTTTTTATTTCACATCGATCGGTGCACTATTACCGAAGTTATAAGCGTGGAAAGTTTACGTATATTTTTAAAATCTCGCCAGTGCCCGCGAGGAACGCGTGACGTCATAGATTCCATGCAGCCGCGCCGCCATACCGTTCCAGCGCGCCGATTATACGTTTGTAGTCATTGAATTAATATATATATCAATGTTTGTAGTAATATTTCGCGGGCGAGTTGTTTGCCGTCGTGCGCTCTGGTGTTTTTAAGTATTTAATGATGGAAGAAGGGTTTTAAAAGGTCAATCTGACATACCTTCCAATAGTCCGTTGACATGATGGTGGCGGAATATTTTCTAAGAAACAAAGATTTTGTCGCGGGTGAAATACGCTTAAGATAATATTCTATAACCGAGGTACCCATTATTACATTAATACTTCTGGGTTTCATTTGCTAATGATAAGAATAAGTATAACAAAAATACGTAAACATTCCTTACCTACCTACTTACTATATGCCTCTAACTAGTTTTGTTTTCTTATTCTTCTTAAGTGCACCCTGACCTTTTTGTGGTTTTTATGGTTAAAAAAAATCCTGTTGTATGTAAAGAAATTTACTACAAATATACCTTCGGTGTATAAAATATGATTTTATCTAAAAATCAGATGTTTTCAATATTAATAGAAAAAGGGTCGCATTATTATTATGATTAAAAGCGTAGTTATATATTCTTCAGGCAAGGGATCAATGTCAATATTATCATCTAGAGTAGTAACATGATCGACAACATATCTATGCTCAATTTCCTGTGAAGTAGTGGCAATCGCATGTGCAACTGTTTCTGACCTGGATTTGGCATTTAGTTTTGATAGTAAACATCTTTGTGGTTTTTCTGTATACCGATTTTGACAAGCAAACTTGTGAGGCAAAACATCTTTTTTAAGTTTGAGGAGACCACCAAGTAGTTTGTACTTCACGTAGTTTTCCATATCGTTTTCGATCTAGAACAAAATACAAACTTATTTAAAATCTATGAAAAAATAAGGAACCTCGTAATTTGTATTCCATCAATATTTAAAATATGTACCAACTATGTAATACATAAAAATATGACAACATGAAAAAAAATTTACGTGCTCCACTTCATAATCAAACTTCTTCCATCATTTGCGGCCCGCAAAGTATGCAGGTTGAACAGCTCTGCGATGTGTTTAGTTTTTGCTCGTAAAAATATAAAAACGTTTGTTAACATATTCCATATTTTAACCTTTATATTAATGCATTATAAACATTTTAAAATTTGCTGCAAACATAGGTAGGTATCTAAACTTACGAACTCACGACAGGTCATTGACTTATCTACATTACATAGGTAAGTACTTTACCCAAGTTTGGATGTTTATTTACACTGAAGTAGTTTTAGTTAACTATGTAGGTATTAGGTATTCTTTCTTCTTTAAATTATAATGATCATTAAGCGTAGAAAGCTTCAATGAATCGTTAGTTACTTAAACTCTGCGACTCGAGTAGGTACCAACATGCGTAATAGAAAGCATTTACTACCAATAACCAAGAGCTATCATGTGAAGATTATTATTATTTGAATACTTACATCGAAATGATCACAAACAACAATATGCTACCGTGTTTGGTCCTAAAGGATGTGCTCTTCTCATAGCATTTGTCCATTTATTTCTGAGGGTAGGGTTTCTAGGCACATTAAAAAACAACTTCAGGTGTTTTGTGGCCGTATTTTTACATTGAGGCACAGCACAATATTTAATAGATGGTGTCATGTTCTATAATGTTTCTTGTTAAAAATATATAGCAAGTAAATCTGCGCGCGATGGGCACATTCGAGTAAATCTTTTGATTTTTGATTTTGCGCGTCGGGTCTCTCGCACGAAGATGGAAATTGTGACGTCATCAACGATGTCGCTCTCGGCCCGCGGCTTAGACTGAAAATGTTAACTTTGCGCCTTTATATCTCGGTCGGTTTTGAAGATAGAAAACAATTAAAAACACGGTTATTCTCGTAATTTTTTGTAGATTTTTTTGGCATATAAAACAAAAAATGGTTATCTTCTCCATTATCTGCTAGCCTCAAACGATTCTAACAGATGGCGATATCTGTTAAGGGGATACATTGAAAATAAATCGTAGTTTTGGGGACGTGACTTATTCCTTTGTCGGTGAAGCTTACGGACGACTGAGGGAGTCAAAATGAAAGTGATGCAATGATCTTCATAATACGCAAATAATGAGATAGCTGTACCGAGCACACGCTCGGAAAAAAACTATGTAAACGCTAAACAACAACGTTACTCCAACGTTAATCCATAACGTAGTTTTTAACAAAACTACGTTATGGATTTAAAAAATGGTTTATGAGAACCTGGATATGATTATTAACTATGCCTTAAAAATAATTCCATGAACTTATTCGTAAAAATATTGTGGTGTCATGTAGAAATGTAACTAATTAGAGCGTACTTTGCAATTTTTTTCTATCAAGAAAATTCCATAATATCGTGTTTTACTTTTATGCAATCCAAGGTCATATAGTCAAAAATCATATATCAAAATTGGTTTGTAATCTATAATACTTAAAAAAATATTTGAAATAGAAAAACCACCAAATTTTCGAGGTACCTATCACCTTAACTGGATTGAGTAAGTATTGAATAGATGGATGTTAAAAGTACAAACGTTTCATATAAACGTATATAAACGGCTCACTAAAGTTAGCCCCCCGATTTTTTCCTTTGTTATAACATATTGTTAATTCGTGGTTTGTTCTTGATTGTTTTCTATCAGTAATTGTTTGTTCGTCAATAATTTATTTATAAAAATTAATTAAAATCTGCCTTATAGTTTGCCCACCCCACTCCAATTCGTAATTTCTTTAGTTATTATTGGTCTTTTTATATTCACTGATGAAATTAAAAAGATCAATAATTTGTTCCAAACCAAAAGTTTGTTCTTGGATAAAATACGTTTGTTCAAAACTCTTTAATTAAAATATATACGGAACGTAAGACATATCTATAGTAAGTATATATATAGTAAGTACCGATAAAAAATGGGAGCCATGAAAACAAGGAAAACCCCATCCTTCCATTACAGGCATATTCAAAGCTAAAACATTGGGGCGACTTTACACGGTACATCCAAAGCAACGTGAGTGCTTCTGTTTACGTTTGTTATTGTTTAGTGATCCCGGACCAACTTCTTTAAATAAATCTACCCACAGGTTACATACATTCAAGGCAAACGACGCTACCTTCGAACGCTTAAGTACCAGGGCAACAGAATGATGCGAGCGCGTACGAAACCGACTCATCCAAGTCATTCTTGGTTCAGCAGCCTGCAGTCGCTATTTGAGTTCACCATGTGCTTCCGAAGACAACCGCAGAACTACGGCAACAATAACACTACGCGTGTCAGCAATAACGATGAGGTTTTTGTAAGTGGAGAAACCATTGTTCTACTTTCCTATGTAAATGCAATGTTATATTAAGTTAATATATTGTTACGTGCTTAGGGTTCGTGACAATAAAAACTACCGATTGGTAATTCGAATTGATACGTTAGTTAATGAACATCAATTAAAATTTAAAACACACTAGTAATTAATCACACTTAACACCTTAGTTCACTTTATTTCGCTCCAAAGTCTGCGCTTGTGTCGCCAATTCAATACTGCCTCGGTCGCGGTCCTAAACCCCTTATATAGGGACTTTTCTACTAAACACATCTTAATGAGAAAGATCTTGACGCTCCTATTTCTGCTACTTGATACTAGATGGCGCTAATGATTACCCGCCATGTACCAGAGATTAATTATGGAGCGCAACACTGCCCCCTCCTAAGACATGCTCGTCCTGAGCATTATCGGCCCCATAGTAACGCGCCAGTCGATCCATATGAACGATCTTAGGAGTACCTCTTGTCCCTTTCTGTATCCTGTAGGTTACGTCATTGATCCTGGTCACAATCCGGTACGGGCCGTCGCGTTCGGCCGTCGAGATTTCCCTTTGCTGCGGACTGAATTGTGCAACTACACTAGTGAACCTTCGTCGAACTATGTGTTTTTCATTTTGCGCTCATACCGGGTTTTCATCTTTTCAGACATTTTCTGGCCTTGTCTGTCTGGATTATCTGCTGTGCTCATAAATATCATTCATTTTGTTCCGCAAGTCATTTACATAATCGGTTATACCGCGTTGGGCATCAGGTGGTATTTCGGTGATCAGGTCTGCTGGCAGCCGTAATTCTCATCCAAAGTTTGCGAACTGGTTTCACTGATATACTTTCTTGAACAGCGCTTTGATATGACAACAAAAATGGTTGTATGTGCTTGTCCCAATCTCGTTGCCGATTGTCTATAACTTTTTGCTAGGTATCTCTCCAATGTCTGATTAAACCGTTCTAGCAAGTTTCCTGAAATATTTGAGAGTCAAAATTCCTTCCTTGCTCGCTGTGAATCTCTAAAGGTACTCCAAAACGACAGAAGACTCCATGAACTTGTTTTTTTGATTTGGAATGGCGAAGACTTCTGGCCACTTAGTGAAGTAATCTATCACAACCATGAAATACTTGTTAGCACTTCCCGGAAACGGCTTTTCTCTGCCATGGTGCACCAACATTGTACAACTTCAATGCACCTCTACTACGAGTCTGAGGTCACTTTACAACCGCACAACTTGTACATTTGCAACACCAGTCCTCGACATCGTCTCGACAGTGGACCCAGTAAAACGTTTTTTGGATCTTCAGTAGAGTTCGTTTAACTCCCAGATGGCCTCCTGAACAATTATTAAGTTACAGCTCTAGAACATCCAGTACTTTAGCTTTGAGGACAACCATTTGCAAATGACAGCTGTCTCCCCGACCACTTTCCCATTTACGGCACAGAACTCCATCCTGAAGCAGCAAGCTGTCCCATTGGGCCCAACATCTTTTCGTGATCGAACTCATCGCTGAGACGTCGCTCTACTCGGACTTGGAAGCACTGGCTTTCATCCATTCCGGAATCGGCTTGATGGCCGGATCTTCCTGCTGTGCATGTTGTAAGTTGTCCGTCCACTCGTTGTTGATGTGGTCTGTCCTGAGCATCCCCACATATACCACTTCCTTACTCTCTTGCCTAGTACAATACTTGCAATTTTCAGGACAAGGTCTTCTTGACAATGCATCTGCGTTGCCATGAGATTTCGCGCTGCGATGATCGATCACAAAGTCGTATTCCTGCAGTAGCTTAATCCACCTCACAACTTGTCTTTCTGGATCTTGAACTGCAATAGCCATTTTGGTGCAGCATGGTCAGTTTGTAAGTAAAATTTCCGCTCCAGAAGATATTTGCTAAAATGCTGCAACGACTTTACCACAGCTAGCAATTCGCGTCTTCTCACATAATAGTTCCTTTCTGGTTTTGACAACGACTTGCTGAAGTACGCTATCACAACCTCTTGATCACCAATTTTTCGTTGTGACAACACACCGCCAAGTCCTATATCACTTGCGTCTGTGTCAACTATAAATACCTTGCCTGCATCAGGATACCCCAAAATTGGTGTTTTGTTTAGACAGCACCTGGAATGCGATACCGCAACTTTCATCCCAGCAGAAATGTCGCTTCTCCTCGGTTAGCTTGTGCAGAGGTTTGGCTATATCTGCAAAGTTCTTCACAAATCGCCGATAATAGGAGCACAAACCCAAAAATGCTCTAACCTGCGTCTTGTCTTTTGGAACCGGCCAATCCTTGACAGCGGCGATTTTCTCTGGATCCATGTGGATACTTTCTTCTGACACTACATACCCCAAAAACTTAACTTGCCGTTTGAATAGTGAATATTTCTTCGAACTCAACTTAAGGTTGGCACTTTGAATCTTAATGAGCACGAATTCCAGGTTTTGAAGGTGTTCCTCAACGTACGGCCTACGATGATGATGTCATCCAAGTAGATCAGACAGGCATCGCCAATTAGCCCGGTAAGTACAAGTTTCATCAACTTTTCAAACATTGCTGGAACATTGCACTATCCAAACGGCATTACTTTAAATTGCCACAGACTCTTTCCCGTCGAGAACGCAGTTTTCTTCTTGTCCTTAGGCTCAATTTCAACTTGCCAGTAGCCACTTTTTAGATCGTTCACTCGATCGATCACTTTACTCCTGTAAGCATGTCCAGCGTGTCATCAATTCTCGGCAAGGGATAGTTGTCCTTCTTTGTAACGTCGTTCAGATGACGGTAGTCAACACAAAACCGCATGCTGCTGTACTTCTTCTTTACCAGCACCAGGGGTGAACACCATAGACTAGATGAAAGTTCAATATCTCCATCCTTCACCATTCCCTCAATCATGGTTTCCACTTCCTTTTCACGTGCTACAAGCAATCTTCTTGGTCGCTGACGGATAGGCAATTCTTCTCTTGTGTTTATTCGTGTTGAACTAAGCCAGTTTTCCCTATGTCAGCATCGTTTGACGAGAATACATCGGCGTACTAGAGTAACAACTTCTTTGCCTTGACCATTTCAATCGGGGAGAAAACGCTGCGACAGTCTTCTAAAAGTGTAGTCACTCTCGTTTGTGCATCCTTGCTGGGGGTTCCAGTCGACAGATATTGGCACCGATGCAACCAATCCACGTCCTCACAAGTACCAACCAGTGTGCTTTTTTCTATAATCTGTTTCTGATCACAAAGGTTCAGCACACGTACTCCTGAGATGTCAGTGGTTCTGACCAAGGTTCGAGCCACTTTCCATGGAGGGTCATTGTCAACCCTTTCCACGAGTACACAACGATGAGCTTGCCCAGGATTTAGAGGAAGAGTAACCGGCACAATCGTATCCGATCTCGGCGAAAGAACAATCTTCTTAAGGCTGTAAACATTCCCTGGTAAGGCCCCTTCCATGAAAAGTTCCTCTTGTACACATTTCAAAACACCTTGTTTAACGTCGATCTAACAACAATTTTTCCTCATAAAGTCTAGGCCCAAGTTACAGTCGTCTATTATATCAGCCACGATGACATTATGCAGGTAGATCATGTTGCCTAATGATTTCTTATATTTACGCGAACACTACACATGATTAAAACTACTTTTACGGATTTTATCGCGTTTATTTTTGCTTTTAATTACTTTTATTTTTAATTCCCGACGTTTCGGGCGCTTTCCAGCACCCATGGTCACGGGGGACTGAGATGACTGACGTCCCGATGTCATTGTTAAACCCGGAGTACCTTCAGCTTTTTTAATTATTGTTTATGGTCCGATCTATGCAAAATGAACTGACTATGTCTTGAGGTCTTGCAGTGGTATGCTTGGGTTTAATTTTAATTTTATTGATTATAGGATCCCAAGCAGGTGGTAGTACCCAGCCTCCTTCTCTATTGAAATCAGGATGTTTTTTAATTTCAATAGCCTCACGTATCATCCTTGGTAGGAATCGGTGTTCTTTCGCGAGGATTTGTGGTCTATCAAATCTGATGTAATGGTTGGGGCCATCCAGGATATGATCACAAACTGCAGACTTCCCGGAACGTTGATGCTTCACATCAGCTATATGTTCTTTTACGCGGGTTCTAATTGATCTTTTTGTTTGTCCTATATAAGAGAGACCACATTCACAATCAAGCTTGTACATTCCTGCATCTTGTAGAGGAATATGACACTTGACGGATGGTAGGAACTGACTAATCTTCTTCGGCGGCTTGTAGAATGTTCTAATAGAAGCTCGCTTCAGGATATAGCCAATCTTGTCTGTGACACCTCTGACATATGGTAGTACAGCAGGCACACGCTCAACTGTGGCCGGCTTCACTCGGTCACTGTGACGTAGGCGCGGGACCCGAAGCTTGTTGTCGTGCAGAACTTGCTTGACGTGCTGAAGCTCGGCGGCCAGGTGTTTGCTGTCACAGATCCCTCGTGCTCTCTGTAACAAAGATTTGCCCACGGTAGCTAACTGTGAAGGATGGTGGTGAGATTCACCGTTTAAATATCGGTTTGTATGGGTCTTTTTCCTATACACAGTGTGACCAATGGTGTTATTAGGATTTCGGATGACTAACACATCTAGGAAAGGTAAGGAATTATTTGCCTCTAACTCCATAGTAAATTGAATTTTAGAGTTTATGGAATTAAGATGTTCTAAAAATGCAGTTACTTTGTCTGAATGTAAAATTGTGAAAGTATCGTCTACGTACCGCTTGTAGATCCTTGGTGTAACAGGTGCAGTAAGGAGGGCTTTCTCCTCAAAGTCTTCCATGAATATATCGGCGACAATGGGAGATACAGGTGAGCCCATCGCAACACCATCTACTTGCTTCTAAAACTCTTCCTTCCACAATAGATAGCCAGATGTAAGGCAATGTCTTAGTAATACTGCATATTCTGCTGGCATGTTATTTCCCTATAGTTTCCTAGTTATAATTGAGATGCAGTCTTCAACAGGTAGCCATGTAAATAGAGACTGAACATCAAAACTGACCATGGTTTCATTGTCAGTAAGATGTATGTATGTATGTTTTATCTCACTGACAAAATGGTATGAATCCTTAGTGTGTGCTCTTGTGTGTCCCCTGAGTGGTGATAATATTTTAGCTAAGTATTGAGCCAATCTGTAAGTTGGCGAATCAATCTGACTCACTATTGGACGTAATGGAGCATTCGGTTTGTGTATTTTTGGTAACCCATACAACTTCGGTGGTTTGGCACATGAAGGTATTATCGAATTATACCTTCATGTGCCAAACATGTGACATCGGGACGTCAGTCATCTCAGTCCCCTGTGACCATGGGTGCTGGAAAGCGCCCGAAACGTCGGGAATTAAAAATAAAAGTAATTAAAAGCAAAAATAAACGCGATAAAATCCGTAAAAGTAGTTTTAATCACATGTTGCCTAACTTCAACTGCATCTCCTTATCTCCACGGACGGGTATGCACTGACCGGTGGCTGTCACCAAACTAATGCGTTCTCGGTTGTATGCGGAGTCCTTAAGGGACTGACTTATAAGTTACGAACTTACAACCATGCGAAAGACTCCAGTGTCTATGGTCCGTTTACATGGCATTCCATTTACCTCGCCCTTGATGATGTTCCCATCATAGGTTTGTAAGATCGAAATCCTTGGCGCTCTTTTAACATCAGCCAGCACCCGCCCCGCAGTCCTGGATTTTACTCGTTTCCCTGCTGCTGGGTGGTGCTACTAGCCGCACTACCCTCTCGAGATCGATCACCTTCCCTTTCTACAGTTCGCTTAGGGCAGCTGGATCGAAGATGGCCCCTTTCCCCACAGACGTAGCACCTAGCGATGTATCCTTTATTGTGATCGCGAACTGCAGCTGCTGTAACCTCCCTGACACGATAGGAACGATGATCCTGCCACACGGCTTCCACCTCAAGTGCATGGGCCAAGGCGTCCTTTAGTATCTCATAGTGCCCGAGCCTCACAGCAGCTCTGACTTCAAGGTCGCGGATGCCGTCGATGAATGCCTGCACCAGGTTCCCTTCATTGAGCGCAGGTACAGACTGGTATGCTTTTCGAACAAGCTTCTATACCTCCAGGGCCCACTGCTGCAGATTTTCGTTGCTGCGTTGCACGCGGTCTTTAAGCTGCGCACGAAAGACGTGTTCCAGGTGAGTGTCGCCATATCTCACCTCCAATGCCTCAAGGAGCTACTCGTAAGTCACTTTATTTCCGAGAGCTTCCAGAACAGTTAAGGCTTGGTTGCGCAGGCCTAGGGTGAGTGCAGTCATGGCCTGACTTTTATTCCAGCCGTTCGCCTCCATAACAGCCTCAAACTAGATTTTGTAGGCCGACCAGGAAGAAGTCCCGTCGAACGGCGGCACTTTGAATCCACGTAGTGAAGGTGTTGTAGCTACTACGGGAGCTGTAATTCCATCCCCAAGTTTGAGGTCGTCCAGCATTTTCTTCATGTCAGCCATCACGTTGTTCGTTTGGACGATTTGCCTTCCGTGGCCAGCAGCTGGCCTTCCGACATCTGTGGCGTTGCACCACCAAATCGTCTCTTGTTCTTCTCATGCTGGCATCGACTTCGGGTGCGGACACACTCCGTTTCGTCCTTAGGTAAAACTAGCATCATTTTATCTCACTTCTAACACCAATTGTTACGAGCTTAGGGTTCGTGACAATAAAAACTACCGATTGAATTACCAAAATTGACACTTTAATTACTGAACACTAATTAAACCTTAAAACACACTAGTAATTAATCACACTTAACACTAGTTCACTTTATTTCGCTCCGAAGTCTTCGCATGTGTCGCCAATCCAAGACTCGGTCGCGGTGCTCAACGCCTTTATATAGGACCTTTTCTACTGAACACATTTAGAATTTTCGAGTAGAATGTCGAAAGTTCTAGCAAGGAATTTTCGAGAAAGCTTTCCTAGTTCTGCTACTCCATACTAGATGGCGCTACTTTATTTTTCGAAAAAGATCTTGACGCTCCTATTTCTGCTACCAGTTCATGTACAGTACAGTTCATGTACCAGAGATTAATTATGGCGCGCAATAATATCATCGTATCAACTTTGTGTTCGTCAATAATTTCCAGAGCGATTTAGAATAATTTAGAATATTATCAGATATGCAATATATGATATAATACATATCTGATAATATTCCATTATCAAAATTAATATTAATTAGGTGTTTGTGGTTCTTTTTTATCTTTAAAAAATAAATTTTAATATGTAGGTTTGTTGCTAAGTTCACGACCTTTTAAACTCGTGACATTTTATAGGTGGCATTTTAATAATTTTGCTTAGGAATTTATTGCATGGAGTAACATTTACGTCATAAACCACTATTTAGTGCACACGAGTAGATAAACGGAACAGAGATAAAGCTTCATACAACCACGAGAATCGGTTGCAAGACAAGCACGCGGGTCATTTGTGTCACGTGACCACTGGCCGCTTGTCATGCGTACCCGCGACGAGACTGGAAAATACCGTTTACGCTGTCACAGCCAGTGGACAATCTCAAGGGCAGTGCTACGCACGTTGTTTGTTTTGTTAGTTGCAAGTTTGAATATTTTAATTTAAAAACGTGGTGTTATTAATAATAGTTGTTTATTGTACTTTGTGTATGAATAATACTAGAAAAATAAAAATATATCATACTTTAACTATGTTCGGTCTCTATTTGCCTACCTGTTGAAGACTGCATCTCAATTATAACTAGGAAACTAGAGGATAATTACATGCCAGCAGAATATGCAGTACTACTCAGACATTGCCTTACATCTGGATATCTATTGTGGAAGGAAGAGTTTTACAAGCAAATAGATGGTGTTGCGATGGGCTCACCTGTATCTCCCATTGTCGCCGATATATTCATGGAAGACTTTGAGGAGAAAGCCCTCCTTACTGCACCTGTTACACCAAGGATTTACAAGCTGTACGTAGACGATACTTTCACAATTTTACCATCAGACAAAGTAACTTCATTTTTAGAACATCTTAATTACATAAACTCTAAAACTCAATTTACTATGGAGTTAGAAGCATATAATTCCTCACCTTTTTTAGATGTCTTAGTCATCCAAAATCCTAACAACACCATAGGTCACGCTGTGTATAGAAAAAAGACCCATACAAACCGATATTTAAACGGTGAATCTTACCATCATTCTTCACAGTTAGCTACCGTGGGCAAATCTTTGTTACAGAGAGCACGAGGGATCTGTGACAGCAAACACCTGGCTGTCGAGCTTCTGCACGTCAAGCAGGTTCTGCACGACAACTAGCTTCGGGTCCCGCGCCTACGTAACAGTGACCGAGTGACGCCGGCCACAGTCGAGCGTGTGCCTGCTGTACTACCATATGTCAGAGGTGTCACAGACAAGATTGGCTACATCTTGAAGCGAGCTTCTATTAGAACATTCTACAAGCCGCCGAATAAGATTAGTCAGTTCTTACCATCCGTCAAGTGTCATATTCCTCTACAAGATGCAGGAGTGTACAAGCTTAATGGTGAAAGTGGTCTCTCTTATATAGGACAAACAAAAAGATCAATTAGAACCCGCGTAAAAGAACACATAGCTGACGTGAAGCATCAACATTCCGGGAAGTCTGCAGTTTGTGATCATATCCTAGACGGCCCCAACCATTACATCAGATTTGATAGACCACAAATCCTCGCGAAAGAAAACCGCAAATTCCTACCAAGGATGATACGTGAGGCTATTGAAATTAAAAAACATCCTAATTTCAATAGAGAAGGATGCTGGGTACTACCACCTGCTTGGGAGGGTCCCAATGATCAATAAAATTAAAACTAAACCCAAGAATACCACTGCAAGACTTCAAGACACAGTTAGTTCATTTTGCATAGATCGGATCATAAACAATAATTAAAAAAGCTGAAGGTACTCCGGGCTTAACATGATGACATCGGGACGTCAGTAAGACGTCAGTCAGTAGTTTCAGTCCCCCGTGACCATGGGTGCTGGAAAGCACCCGAAAGGTCGGGAAAAGGTCGGGAAAAGGTCAGTTAAATAAACGCGATAAAATCCGTAAATTTAGTTTTATTCAATGTGTAGTGTTCGCGTAAATTTAAGAAATCATTATGTGAACCAGTACGGACTGGTAATAGCAAATAAAATTCGCCGATTAGAAGATAACATCTTTAAATTTCTTGAAGAGATGCAGAGACCATAATCTCATTCCTACGTCGTGAAACGTCGGGAATTAAAAATAAATAAAATTAAACGTGATGAAATCCGTAAAAGTAGTTTTAATCAATAGTATATTTTTTATAGCAGATCAGTCCTGTTACAAACATTTTCATTTCTTATCCATTTTCTCTGACGGTATATACATTTTTATGTGTATGAACAAATTTTCTCTTTTGTCTATACTTCATCAGTCATCACTCCGTAAAGAGCTCACTGCTGATTCTCTTTAATAAAGAGAAAAATTTACCACTTTGCATATTTTAGGTAGTGAACCGCAATAATAATGGAGAAAAAGAAACCAGTCCAGTTGCGTCTGCTAGCGAGGACACCATGGAAAGACTTATTGAGAAGATGATGGTGGATCTACAGACGGACTCCGATGATGATTCTAGTTACACGGTGAGACGTCATCAACGTCATTCTTGAGTGGGTCATTTCTTAGTAGCGCAACACGAGTCTGTGCGAAAAGAAAATTTGCGTAAGATTTGGTCTATGAGAGTATTTAATTTAGTTTTTTTTTGTGTTAAGTAGCTAAGTTTGCTTGTACAAAATATATTTACGTATTTGTGTTTTAACTGATTAATTTCCCTATTACATGTTTTAAATGATTCTTTTTGAAATCTTAATGTTAGTTTGCTTTTCTGTGGAGAAGGTTTTCTTTCCGTACAATCTCTACCGTAATTTTATATGCCCGGGAGCTAAGAAGTTCCTTCCCGCCTCCGTTCTCTGCATGTTTACAATCTGAAATGTGGGTTTAGTGGTTAATTTAGTTAGATATCACGCTTACTTCTGACACTTTTCGAAGTATTTATTCGATCACCTACGGGATGAATTCGGGTTATTATTGTTTATGAAGTCTCGTCAGAAATATTATTTTGATGTAATATCTCTCTATTTCAGTCAACTAATCCAATGAGCCTAAAAAGTGATCCTTCTGAAGACGGAGCCGATTCAGAACAAGGAACAATCCCGAACGACATCTTACCTAACGAATCTAATCTATCTGAACCCCATTTTAATGACAGCTGTCAAGTTGCCACTTCTACTCCAGAAAAGGACAGATTCAATTATATTGAACAGTCTGGAAAAGTAAACAAAGTAAACAACGTACACTTATTGAAAATAAAGGAGGTCAATGAACTTGTGGTGGAAGATAACGACAAAACGAGATTAGAGACCACCTCAACCGTAGATGTACAACATACTAATGAAGTTGCAACGTCAGCTAAGGAAGAAACAATTCTATTACTTCAGAGTGAGATAAACATTACACAAAATAATAAACCTCAACGTCCGTCGAAGCATATGCTAGGTATCGGTAAGTATTAGTATTCATTTGTTTTAATAATCACCAAATATATTGCAGTGGAGTAATTAAAAACAGCGATATGAGTTCGTAATATATCATCATCTTCATCAATATCATTGCTATAACTTATCAGAATGCGGCATAGAGTACATTCCCAAGTAACACATCTAAGCAGTGTAACGGCCGACTTACATAATGTCTGTATCATTTTCTCATTTTGTGTTAGTTCTATAGTAGCATTGAAAACGTTTTTACGGCCACTGTGATGCTTATTTAGGCAGAAATTATACGGCTTTAGATCCTAAATAGGTTTACAATAGTTGTTTAATTGCATTACAGGCGAATTATACTTATTAGCATTATTGTTGTCAAAGAACGTATCAATCGCATTTGTCTCACAATACAATTTATGGATGAAGGAAGACGGTCAAAACTGAAATGAGTGACACGACCATATTTGTTTGCATCAAAACAAAATTGCAATATTATTACAGTATTATTAAGTACGTTTTGTTATTTCATAACTTCAAATATTACTGCGCAGTGTAGATTAATGTGAATGTCTATATAAGTTTCATTGAAAATTTACACGTGCCTTCGATATTTTGTGGTTTTGATATAAAATATTATATGTGTGAAATAACCAAAACAATTGTGTATTACTAATAATATAGAATGAATTTTGCATAATTGACATAATAGTGTTGCGCGCCACAATTATAGCCTGTAACATGGCGACACTAGTTACCACTAGTATCTTCTAGTATTGAATAGCAGAACTAGGAGAGTCAAGATCCTTCTAGAAATTTTCATGGAAGAACCTTCTTGAACTATCGAAACCTAGTCAGTCGGGACCGGTATGTACTCGAACATTGTAGATTTTTCTACAGTGGTAAGATTCTGGAACTATTCTGACACGCCGTATAAAGCCGGTATAGACCGCGACCCGGGTCAGTATTGAATTGGAATACAGGCGAATACTTCGAAACAATACAACTGCGAACTAAAGTGAACAGTAGTACAATTGTGTTTTGTTATTACTGTTGTTTTTAAGTTGTAATTAGTGTTCTGTATTTAAAGTGTCAATATTTTGGTAATACACTCGGCAGTTTTTATCGTCTCGCACCCAAGCTCGTAATAATAATAATGATTGGGCACTATTAAATTAAGTTATATCATTATTATATAAGTCTATTGCTTTTATAAATAGGTCTCAATGATAATATTTTTTGGTTATAAAATATTTACAAAATGGTGTCAGTCATAGCAGCCCGGTGATTCTTTGAAAAGGCTAATTAATGCCGCTAGCGTATAAATACTTACACGTGAACAATTATTAAGCCAGAGGTCAAATACAAGACCTATGATGAACCACTGAAGTGCTTATTCTACGTGGTAGAGCCATGCTGCAGTTATATTAGTAGTATAGTTGTAGCACGAATGGGTCGGCTCGACCGGGGAAGGACCACGCTCTCACAGAATACCAGCGTGAAATAGTAGCTTAATGCTGCTGTATTTCGTATGGTGAGTGTAGAGAACCGGAGACCCTTTTTACTGAAAATGAGGCATTCCATCTCAGTCCTCACGGGTGACAACGCATCTGCATTTTGATTTGTAATGGAAGATAGATGTAGATGTCTATGGGCCGCAGCAACCACTTACCATCAGGTGGACTGTGTGCTCGTTTGTCAGCCTATTCTATAAAAAAAAAAAAGTGCCATTGCCTATAATCTATCAATTAGTTATACCGGTATACTAGTAGACTTGATGGAGACTGAAATAGTGCCATTACTTGAACGCTACGTTAAAAATTTTATTATCAACAAAACATGTACCTACATATTATGTTGCTTATCCCCACAATATGAGCGACAAAGGTTTTACGAACACAGCAAAATGAATGTATATACAGCTTTACGCATTACAATAACTCACGTATATTTGATTAAAGAACTTTACTTAAAAATAACTTTAACTTTACTTAAACATATTACTTAAAAATGCTGATCTAAATGCAATAAAACAACTGAAAGCTGTAGGTACAGCTGCGTTGTGGTTTGCTGTACTAAAACTAAGGGCTTTACAAAAGCATTTTGATATGCCATTATCCAACCGTTAAATAGTGTAAAGCATCATAATGGTTTAGAAATGCTAATATAAAGCGTCAAGATGCTAGGTGAACTTTAAGAGTTTGTGCGGACCTTAGGTTTTACATAAGTTTACTATTCATTTGTTAAATGCTTCCTGTGTTACTTGATTTATTATAGATTTCGTTCAAAAACAGGAAGGAAATATGAGAAAAAGCAATTAATTTTAAAATGTTACATAAGGTTTTAACTCATTTTCTTTTAGCTAGTGGAAGGCCATCGAGAATTTCACCTAATAAAAGAAAAGGTATAATAAAAAATTACAGTGTTATAAAATCCAAACTAAATATTTTTTTACGCAAATTAAAGAGCTGTGTGAAAAAGTTAATAATATTTCTCAAGTAATCATGAGTCACATAAACCTTGCGACATGAGGGACAACGTACAACGTAAATTTTGGTAAATAATTCACAACCTTATACTCTTATGGACACCACACACGGTCAGTTCAACTGATCATTCCAACTGATCAGTTCAAATTAAAACTGTTGATATTTTTTAAAATATCGAATCTTTGATATATCGATAAATAACCTTTTATATAAAACTCCGATATTGATATATTTTTGTAATTATCGATATATCTAAAATCCAGTATTTTAAAAAATATCAACAGTTTTAGTTTGAACTGATCAGTTGGAATGATCAGTTAAACTGACCGTGTGTGGCGACCACTACAGTACAAATCGCACAAAGCCACTTCGTCATTACTAGTAGGTACTTTGAAGACTATTGGTGATCGTACTCCTCATGTCTTCATTGACATCATTTCTTCATAGCTTAGCGATATTATTTCTTCTAATATAATTAAAAAAGGGGATAAACCCATATTGTTGAAAAAGTTATAATAAACACTGTATGACTGATATTGATGTTTCCTATAAAGTTAAAGCACATACTATCATTTTTAGAATTTGTCTGTTTTTGCGAGGATGCCGATATTTACGAACCTCAAATGGCTTAGCAAGATCCTCCGTTATGCCGAAAATATTGCAGCATTAATTTTGAAATAAATGTATGGTAAAGTTGATGATTAATGCTAAGTACTATGTTAGACGAAAACATGATTCCGTAAAATTTTCTCAATAGAAAAAAAATCCAAAGTTACCTCCAAGCTGAACAATAAACCGCTGTTATTCATAAAATACTTTAAATAAGGTCATGAAACTTTGTATACTAACTGAACTAACTATAAAGCAGGGCTTATGTTTTTTATTTTTTTTAATTACCATTATTTTCACTGTAAAAAGAAATTACCTAAACTATCGGCGTCCTGAAGCTTGGAACCGGGCGTCAGGAAACAAGCTTCAGGATTTTGAGGTTATATTCCATTGAGTTATACAACACTAGAGGAGCAAACCACATTACCGCGCGTCGAAAAAAGTGTAACCACTATCCAAACGCGACGACGTAGCTTTGAAACTAATAACAATTTTAAGTAAACATATATCTATCTCACTTACACAAGTTGCGAAAACAATATCGTCCTCGTAAGATTAGATAAAGATAGACACAAAAACATGCAATGGCGGGTTGGTGTGGCTTACTATATGAAATTTTACCTAAAATACGCAATAAAAATGAGTTTTTTAAGCTGCAGTTAATTGTTTTTATATTAAAAAAGTATATTTTATTTTAAAATCTTTATTACGGCCCCTTAGAAAAAAAGGGATACAAAGCTTATCAGATGAATAGAAGTAAACATAATGATGAAATAAAACGTATTTTTATGGTTCTAATAAATCAAACAATATAAAATAGGTATCTAATAAAATATAATTAATATAAAATTTATATGAAATTATAAATAATATAAAATAAATTTAATAGATAATTCATTATTAACTAAACTAAGAATAATTAATTATTTTGTATGAAAGTTAAAACGTAGTTTTCACCAAAATATTTAAAATCAGAGGTAACAAATTAACTTACTCCATTAATTATATAGTCTCCCATTAATGTAGGATAATCACAAATGCGGAAAAGTGGCAACATTGAACCTAAATGGCAATATTCGATAATTTTATTTAATTATTTGAGGTTTTTTACGTTTATATGAAAACAAGAACTAAAAATTATGTGTTGAAAGTGATGCCGCTTCATTTATTACGTTTTTGTGACCTTGAATAGCATTCTTTCACTACGCATTTACACATTTTTGTCGCGGCTCAACTCTGTCGGCGTCACATTGAACAATGAACTCACGTTAGCTAGGCATATGGCTGTGGCCATATGTGCAGTGCCAACACTTTGGCGCGGTTATTACTGATGTAGTGTTATATAAATCAATGTTATATTCCCCCTACGGATGTTGTATCGACTTCGCGCGGCAAACAATCGAATATTGGCTCGCGCGGCAGCCGCGCAGAGTGGATACTATGTTATTAGCGCGCGCGGCAATTCGAACATTGGCGCTCGAACGTGCCGCGCGACGAACCAATCCGTGTCGGCACGGTAATATTTATAGATAATATTACCGTGGTGTCGGTTTTTGACGGCGCGGCAAAGGAATCTCAGCGAGTTGTGCTCGCGCTGTTGGGACGGTCGTTTACGTATTTTATTTGGCGCGCGTGGGAAAAACATGTATAGAAAAGTGTCGTACTTTAATTAGATTACATCATTGAGTTTTGCTACACTAGAGGAGCAAACCACATTACCGCGCGTCGAAGAAAGTGTAACCACTATCCAAACGCGACGACGTAGCTTTGAAACTAATAACAATTTTAAATAAACATATATCTATCTCACTCACACAAGTTGCGAAAACAATATCGTTGCTAAGATTAGATAAAGATAGACACACAAACATGCAATGGCGGGTTGGTGTGGCTTACTTTATAAAATTTTACCTAAAATACGCAATAAAAATGAGTTTTTTAAGCTGCAGTTAATTGTTTTTATATTAAAAAGTTTATTTTATTTTAAAACTTTTCCTTTAGAAAAAAAGGATACAAAGCTTATCATATGAATAGAAGTAAACATAATGATGAAATAAAACATATTTTTATAAGTATTTTTATTGTACTTAATCAAACAATATAAAATAGGTAATAAAATATATTTAATAGATAATTCATGAATAAGAATATATAATATATATATATATATATATATATATATATATATATATATATATATATATATATATATATATATATATATAATAAACCAAAATAAGAATAATTAATTATTTTGTATGAAAGTTAAAACGTAGTTTTTATTATAATTTCCAAAATATTTAAAATCAGAGGTAACAAATTCACTTACTCCATTAATTATATAGTTTCCCATTACTGTAGGATAATCACAAATGCGGAAAAGTGGCCACATTGAACCTAAATGGCAACATTCTATAATTTTATTTAATTATTTGAGGTTTTTTACGTTTATATGAAAAAAGAATTAAAAATTATGTGTTGAAAGTGATTCCGCTTGATTTATTGTGTTTTTGTGACCTTGAATAGCGTTCTTTCACTACGCTTTACCCATTTTTTGTCGCGGGTCAACTCTGTCGGCGTCACATTGAACACTGAACTGACGTCAGCTAGGCATATGGCTGTGGCCGTATGTGCAGTGCCAACGCTTTGGCGCGGTTATTACTGATCTAGTGTAATATATAAATCAATGGATTACATGGCTTGCGAGTAGTGTTGCCAGGTGCCCCGATTTGCGCGGGACGTCCCGATTTTCAAGGGTCTGGTGACACGCCCCGATTCACCCTTGATCGGGACACCAAATGTCCCGATTTTCACTAACCTTCTTAGTCTATACTTTAGTCCATAATTTTAACAGCAAAATAATTACGTCTATTAGCTACTACTACATTGAAATATTTTTACTACGACATTATCTCACCAGTCAAAAAAAAACCACAAAAGTTTTAAACAGAGTTATATTAAAAATGAGTGATTTGAAAATTTAGAGTTAAAAATGTTTTGATTTGCCTAAAACGGAAAAAAATTCAGTTTTTACGATGTTTGGATGAAAAGTTATTCGTTCATGAGATCAGATCCGAATAATAATTATAAAGCACAAAAGTAAAGTAAAGTAAAGTTACAGCCTACATACGTCTCACAGTTGGGCACAGGCCTCCCCTCATTTCTGAGAGGGTTTTAAGGCAAGGAAATATCTGCCGCGCTGCCCCAATGCGAGTTGGCGAACTTCACATGTCTTCGAAAGATTTTTTTTAATTCCTCAAACGTGCAGGTTTCCACACGATAATTTCCTTCACCGCCGAGCACGTGGTAAATCAGCGCTTAAAAATGCAATTAACAATTTCAATGGTGCCGGCGGGGATCGAACCCAGGTTCCTCGCATACTGTGATATTTACAGTGAGCGTTAATCATCTGAGCTACCTTTATACTATCAATAAAGCACAAAAAAGGCTACAAAAAATCCTATATTTTGTAGCCATTGTAGATGTCCCGATGTGAAAACCAAATTCCCGATTATTTTTACCTTCCGTCCCATTTACTTGCTAGACCTCCCAACACTACTAACTTGCGAGCCAAAACACAGCTTTGCCGCGGGCGGACAAAGCTCGCACGGCAGCCGCGCGAAGTCGATACGCAGCTTTAGGTACCTAAATAAACCTTATTACCTAAATAACACATAAAAATCTCCACTTTTTTCATTTCATTTTTATTCATTTATCTTTTATTGCAATTTGCAACACACATTCAACTAGGGGTGGACTTTATGTCCTATGGGATTCTCTATCAATCAACCTTATAAAAGATGGAATAAATAAAGATGTTGGTATGCGCAAATTAAGGATAGGTAGTTATAGAAAGAAAGCTTAAATTTATTCCTTTTTTTATTTCTGATCTTTGTTTATTTTTCATTCCTTCTTGTCTTCTTGCCAGATAGCATACAAACTAGCCCAGCCACATTTATAAAATATTCGACCATCTTTTGTTTTTTTTTTTATTAAATTAAAATTGATAAAGGAGCACACAGTCCTCCTGATTGTAAGTGGAAATTGTGTCTTTCAGAAACCTATTTACGATTATGAACGAAAATAATGATGCGGTACTCTAAAGACTAACATAGAATAAGTACCTTGTTACGATTAAAAAGAGTTCTAGTCACTCTGTGCCAGCGTGATCCCCCCCCCCCCCCCCTTGGTCAAGCCGAACGTTTGGCGCCGCAGTGATAAATTATAATACAATTTAGAAATTGAAGACATAAGGCTTAGCCGTGAACTAAAGCCAAAGCAGCGATCACAATAGATCTTCTAGGTCGCAGTGATACTGGTCTCTTTCCCTAGACTCGCACTTAATAAAAAAAATAACATTTAAAAGTTTAGACTTAGTGAAGGTAAATCTTTTATCTCAGTCTTTGTATATCTTTGTTTACAGAGAACCTGCTGGAGCCGGCCGAAACCAAAGCATAAACTCTCAGTTTTTAAGAGCTATATTCGACAAAACATAATTAACTTTGTAAAACATATGTAAGATCTTTCTTTAGGCTTTTAATATTCAAAATATTTATAGAATTTTAGGTGTATTATTGTTTTAGATAGACATGAGTCCCACGAACCACAAATTCCTCTTTACCGATCATCCCACAGATTAAAACTATGCAAAAATCTTATTTTAATTTTCTTTTGAAATAATATTGTTACTGAAAATAGAAATAGCCCGTGCAAAATTTTAAGTAAAGGATTTGAGGATTTTTTACAAAATTGTAAACGCTCACGGAAACGCGTTCGATGATAAATAACCGGAAAAATTAGTAGAATTGCAATTTGAAACGCTAACAATTTTAAGGCTATAATTAATTTGTTGTTCATAGAATTGTATTATGTAGTAGGTAAGTAGTGTTTTTAATATGTAAATAAATGTTACCAATGTTAGTTTCAGCGATGTTCAAGTTTGGTTAATTTGTTTAAAGTTGAATCCAAACAATGATGTAAATCTATAATAGTATTTTTGTATTAACTATATATACATTTTTAATACTATAATATGTGCGCATTATGACAACAAAAATAAAACTTATTCTGTATTATGTCAAAATAGTAGCATTAGTCCGTAAGATTGCATTTCCAATAAAGTGGCGAAGAAATATTAAGAGCAGAAAAGACAAGGCGTTCAGGAAAAGATCAATCATTTGAAATCCACATCTAGTCTCTGATCCACTTTAGTGTAAATATAATTAAAGATATAAAAAGAAAAGAGGAAGGAGGTTTTATACAAATGACAAACGCAGCTGACTGGAGCGGAACTGTACCAGCTATACGCTCAAGTTGTCATCAACATTAGAACATATGTTAGGTATAGTTACAAATGCTCTGTAGTTATTTCATTAAAAAAAGTCGGTAAATAAACGTATTTTTCTCATGAAATAAAAAATAATAGCATAACGAATTTTATAACCGCTTTCCAATCCCCTAGTTGCGAACGCCTAATATGATAATACCGCGAATGCTTGTACCTACTGCTATCACAAAAATGTATCAAAACAAATTGAATATACGCGACAAAACAACCCAAAAAAACCCAAAGCAGGGAATTTCGGGGGCAATAAATCGATCTAGCAGGATTTATTTTAAAATCCTTTTTGTCCGTGTTTTTAGGCAATTAAAAACTGCTACAATATTGTTAGAATAAGAAGGTAAATTTTGACAGTTTATTAATGATTACAAATAGAAAAATTGGTGTATTGGGCGGTCACAAAATTGTAATACCATGGTTCGAGCCTAGACCGACCGACCGACGTTTTTTAATTTTTCTTTCAAGTTCCTTTCTTTTTTGAGAAAATCTATTTTTTCGAGCCTTTTTTTTAGTATTTTTTAAAAACACGAAAATTTAAATTAAACTAATTGCACTCATGATTTTTTATTCAAATAACCAGTTCAGTTTTTTCTATTATGTCGCTAAGATCAAAAAATATTATTCGTATTTCATCAGTATGTAATTTGTATCTAAATATAATTTCCAAAACACACGAATTAAAAAAACCGAGCGAAAAATACCGAGCAAAGCTCGGTCAACCGGGTACTATAATATAACGTGAACATGTAATGAGATAATGAATAATTTTATGAGATACCTATTTTGAATAAATATTGCAGGCGTCTAAAGTTGTCCCCTTTTGGTATGTAAACGCACAAAGTTGAATTAAAATATTACTGAATTCAGTTTTAAATAGCTATGATTTGACTGTAATTTTTAGTGTAGATTTGTCAGAATATAAGGTTTTATTTTTTGCAAAATTAATTTCAAAAAACTCTAATTATAACTAACGCAATGATGTTAACTAATGTTATCTAACGCCAAGCATTGTTATGTTGTGTATGTATATTTAACGTTATATAAGTTCTATAGTTATATTGTCCAGTTAAATGTACTTCATCATTTATGAAGTACAGTCACACAGAATCGTATATTATTTTTCCAAAGCATCTTGGCTGTGCATCCAATATACAAAGACTGAAGAGAATTAAACACAATGTTCCTCTAATCTAATGTTCGCTTAAACTTTCCTGAATATTTATACACACACACACACACACATACACATATATATATATATATATATATATATATATATATATATGTATGTATGTATAATTTAAGCTTAGCATTTATGTTTTATATTTGTTATTAATTGTAAAGTAATAAGTATATATTTTCAGATTAAATCGATTTAAAAAAAAATTGTTTATTCTTTTCGCCACTCGAATTTCAAGGTATCAAATAATTCATTTCACTGTCCGGTTTCTAGGCACAATAGTAAGACAATAGCAATGACCCATATGTGGGTCACGGGACAGGGAATGGGAGAAGGTAATGATAATGATTAATTAGTAATTCATAAATAGTAGAAAAGCTGTAGAATTACTCTCGATGCTACAGTACTTGTTATATTTTAATTAAAAGCATTGCGTAACATCAATGTTTCTAGAATTTTTGAGAATTTTACTGGCATTAGGTATTTCAAAAGTTAAGGCGGACAGCTGAATTTTATTTCCCAAAAGTGCGCCTGTGGCCATGGCGGCCCTGATCCGCCCTGGTACACCAACAGTTGGCATTCAACTGAACACGCGGTTTCAAAGAAATCCAAATACTGGAACTTAATATTATTACATCAAATGAGTTCACTGTATAAATTTCATAGTACCAATGAAATTGTTATTTGAAATTTTAAGGATGGAAAACATAGTGAAAGAATCTGCATGTCTGAGAAAATAATTATTTGAAGCCACGTGAAGTTCGCCAACACGCGTTGGGGCAGCGCCGACGAACATTTCCTTGTCCATAAACCCTTGATTACTGGTCAACTTCATTAATCACGAAACGAATTTATTTTTAAATCGGATAGCGATCGTCTAATTTAAAATTACTCGCGCCTCCCTTGTAGCTTTAGTAGATTTTGTCACACTTATCGTATTGGGTATCATAAAATCTTCAAAACCGAGCGCCCGTTTTATGGAGTTAAAGCCATCAGTCGAACTGATATCAGTTCGAAAGAATTTAAGCCACAGAAATTTCCACGCACACGGTTAGTTCAAGTGATTATTCCAACTGATCGGTTCAAACTAGAACTGTGATATTTTTTAAAATATCGATAGGTAATAATAAATATATCAATATTGGAGTTTTATATATCGGAAGTTAATTTACAGTAAGCATGTAACATCGAAGTTACTTGTTTTGTCGTTTTCTCTATTAGTTCACATGCGCAGACACTTAATACACAAAATCGCATCACTTTTACGTATCAAAATTCACTTCAAACCATTATTTAAACGATAAAACAAGAGCAACAATCCATCGACGGTTAAGTTCCCGCCAAAACACATAGTAAGTAATGTAGTACTAAGTTTCGTAGAACATAATAATTTTAATACCACAGATATACTATACGAAATTACATTTCTATTTAAGATAATAAACAAATAAATAAACTAAGGAAAAATTAAAAGTATAAAATAAAGTACAGTAAATTAGTTAGTAGTAGATAGATAGAATAAATAATTTACGAGAAAAAATAAAAACTTTTTATTGAAAGAACTATCGACTGTAGATATTCATATATCGACGCTTAGCCCAGAGCGCGACCATCGTATGGCACTGTCCTATTGCCATCGCTCGCACGACGATGCGATGCGATTTCATCATCCGATGAATCCGCACGCGCGATTTCTTCAGTCGCATCGCATGATCGCACGACGTTCAATAGGACATTCCGCGGATATGAGTATGTTTAAACGCACGGTCGCAAGATCATTTACATTGGACGCAACGCATGATCGTGCGAGCGATGGCAATAGGACAGCGCCTTTGGCTGCTTCAACGAGCGAATGCGCAAATGCTGGTGCTACACTAAAGGGAAACGTCAATGCAAATAAACGCAGCAATTATTGGTTTATGACACTTGATAGATAGTAAGAACTGACTAATCTTCTTCGGTGGCCTGTAGAATGTTCTAATAGAAGCTCGCTTCAAGATGTAGTCAATCTTGTCTGTGACACCTCTGACATATGGTAGTACAGCAGGCACACGCTCGACTGTGGCCGGCTTCATTCGGTCACTGTGACGTAGGCACGGGACCCAAAGCTTCTTGTCGTGCACAACCTGCTTGATTTGCTGAAGCTGCTCCGTAAACTGAAGGTACTCCGGGTTAACATTGACATCGCGACGTCAGTCAGCTCAGTCCCCCGTGACCATGGGTGCTGGAAAGCAACTGAAACGTCGGGAATTAAAAGTCAATTAAAATTAAACGCGACAAAATCCGTAAAAGTGGTTTTAATCAATGTATAGTGTTCGCGTAAATATAAGAAATCATTAAATTTATCTTTATCATAAACTCAACATATTTGATTATCAAACAAGTCAAATAATTATTTTGTTAATTCTAGACTTGTTTACTTTATAATTTTTGTACAATCCTATGATGGGACCACACTAACGAGAAATGTCATTAAATAACGCGTTGATGGACGTTGAATGTATGTGTGACCACGACTTAACGCGTTAATTTGACAATGATATTAACAATGCCGTTTGCCGTTTTCGATAAGTGGAGTGGCATAACATCAAAGAGATTGACGCACGAAATAACGCATTGACGCGGCCACACTACGTTTGTCTCACTGTGCACGATAAGCGCAACAGGGTCGCACATCTGGCTATAATGGAGCGGAATAATAAAAAGTTATTATGTTTCTTGAGATTCTGCAAACAGAGCAATGTTTGGGGATCTAAGACTAAAAAGTTGTAAAAATCGTATACCGCAAAATGATGCTTTGCGACGAATTATCAAATTGTTATCTTTAAAACAACTATCGAAGAATTAGAAAGACGAAGGAAAACCTAATGGGTTTTTATAGAACCATTTTTAACAAATATAAAAAGTCTTCAAGGAACATTAACGCCAATTTTAACG